AAAAATAGAGGGGCTGTGGGGACAGTGCCCACCTTTCCAGATGGCATAGCCAGGCAAAGAGCAGGTCACAATGGTGTCTGTCACTCAGGAGGACATACAGAATTAATTCCAGGTGGCTGACAGAAGCCGGACGTACTTTAAATTTGTAGTATTTTGAATTCCCTGCGCATTTCTCAAAAAAATCCCCTCGAACCGTCTCACAAACAAAAACCAGGTTTAATACAGGGCTGAAACTCAAAGATGTTTCACCGGTAAAGGTACAAAGAATGTTACTAATGACAAATCCCCTTGAACCATCTCACAAACAATAACCAGGTTTAACAAAGGGCTGAAATTCAAAGATGTTTCACCCGTAAAGGTACAAAGAATGTTACTAATGACAAAAGCAGGTATTCATTTATGATTTTTTCTTTTGTCCTTCTCAAGAATGTAGGCTACATAAAATCCATACTCTTTCTTCACTCCAAACATACCTAAAATGTAAATGATTTCTCAACTAAAACCATTTTCAATACCGCTATTTACTTCACCAGGAGTGAAAGATTATTTTAACCCATATTCTTCAGGGATGCAGACCTTTCGCATATTTTTAGAATAGTTTTCAGCAAAATATTCCATTCATTTTCCATAATCCTCTGAAGAAAATGAAATTCTTATAATTCTAGCTCCCAAATAAATTTTGTAGGTAAAGAGATTGAGCAAACAAATTCTTCCAGACCCTTACAAGTACCTTTCTAGTCAAAGCCATTTTTCCAGATTCAGTCTTTCTGTGATGTACGTAGGGAAAATAAATCATTAATTTTTTAAACCAAACATTAGGGCAATAAAGGTTCCTTCAACACGTTTTTGTTTGTTTTTAAGTGACACAGGGCAGCTTGTTCAAGGGACTATCTCCAGGTGTGTGACACAGATGATATCCTGAAGCATCACCAACAGGATCTCAGTAAACTGCCTTAGTGTAAGGTACCATTTGTCTGAATTCAAACCAGTACCAAATTTAACAGAAAAATGAAACATTTCAGGGCACCCTACCCTTTATGCTGAAGGGCAGCAATTCCCCCACGCTGCCAGGAAAGAGGGGGATACAGGGACAGGGATACAGGCCAGTCCAACGCAGCAGCTCCATGGCAGCTTGTGCCACCAGCACCACCTCAGGAAGAAAGCATGTGAGCTTCCAGGGGTTTATATCCTCGTTAAAGGATAGAGAAAAGCCCATCTTGGAATGAAGTAACATTTAATGAGCAGTCTTTTGATTTAAGCTTACAACTGGATGAAGTGGGGTGTTTCTAACCACCTGCAAACTTCCGTCAATACCTGGGCACTGCAGGGGTATCTCCATTCCCTGTGGAATGTTTCACTTTAACCATCCTAGCACTGTCAGACAATGCCATCTCACCCACACTGCAGCAGAGATTTACCAACATCTCACTGAGTTGCCATTGTGAAATGTTAACAGAAGGAAAAAAAAAGGATTGACTGCCTTCCTAAAACCCCCAGCGTGCCACTGAGATCTCCAAACAAAACCCTCCCAGGTGCTTGGAGAAAGAGGTGCAGAAAAATAGATGAGACAAGGGAATTAACTACCCAAAAATGGATTTCTTAACTTCTCCCAGACTAATTTCTAAGAATGAAAGAAGATGCTTAAATTAAGTGATATCATGCAGTTATTATGTGTGAAGAGATGACAATTTTTCCAGTCCAGAAGAAAATGATACAGTGATAACAGTTACTCAAACTATTCAACCCTTCACCAAATTACAGTAATGGAGAAATAGAATTACTCTCTACAGTGACCTCTCAAAGGAAAGGAGAATTAAGATTAGAACTAAATAGTAAAATCAGAAATGCAACTTTCCAAAATGTATTCCATATAATCTTTAATATATATTTAATACTCAAGCATTGAAAGAAGTCTCTTTTTTCATGCCAGGGAAAGTTCCCCATAAAAGAACCGGCAGAATATATTCTAAATCTTTAAAACCAAATGAATAAATCACCTACATTACATAAGAGCAAAGAGTGATCTCAAGATCAACTGACCTGGCTGTATATCCTACATTAATGCTAGAATCTCAGCCTTATCTATGACTTGCTTAACCTTAACTGCATCGTACCATTAATATTACTAATTTCTGACATTGCCCATAAAACTCAAAGCCTCACATAAAATATACAGATTGGAACTGAACTAAAACCAGCACAGAGTGAGTTTCCTAAAAGCATCATGAAGTGGTACGAAGCATCAAGCATGAAGGAGTTAAAAAGACAGTGTGCTTTACTCCTTTGGCCCAAGAAACAAGGTAAGAAAAACATGGGGTTTCTTCTGCATGACCAGAATTTGTTGGTTTTCAAAATGCTTTGAGTCAAAGTAGAGCTTTATGGCTTTTGCACAGGCCTCGTAGAGAATGGATTTTTCAGATCTTTTTCCCTAACTTTGAAGGAAGGGGAGAGCTAAAATGCTTCTATACCAGTAACCTACAGAAAGTAAAATCCCAAGGCCGGGGAGGATCCAATTCCGGTGGAGCCTCAGAGGTGGGAGGTAACAGGGCACAGTGAGCACTGACAGTGTACTCTCAGGAGAACATCCCCCCCAGGTATGCTGAGAAACAGATTCTGCACCTTGCTAATGTTCAGTTTTACATAGATGTGGTTAAATACAGCTGTGACATAGTGCAGAAACACTGGGGATGCCAATACAAACCTTCGTCCACACTCCACTTTCCTAAAGAGGCAGATGTTAGGTGGTCAATACTCACCCACTTTCTTTGAAAATCTGCTGTCCTTTCTCAATATATAGATACTTTATTTTTTTTAAACCCAACTGACCTTCTCCAGCTCTTCTATACCAGAAACATACACTGAACTTCAAAAACACGGCTAGGACATGTAAAAAGTATCAACTTAAGTGTATACGCCTTGAGTACATTTGTAAAATATATTGTGAAAATAAACATATTGTAAATCTATTGGTAAAACTTTCATGTGTTGCGTTGACAGAGAAGTAAGAACTCTGCTACCATGACTTTACATAACATTTCATGGTATAAGAATAGTTATCTCACAATGGAAAACAATACTTTTGTCATAAAAGTTTAATCCATAGCTAAGCCTTCCTTAAAGCTTCAGTGATTGAATTTATCCCTTCAGACATACTTTTAAGACAAACTTTCTAGTACCAACAAGTCAGTTAAGCTCTTACAAAGATACTGTATGTATGAACCACTTTTACATAGAATCATAGAATAGGTTGGGTTGGAAGGGACCTTTAAAGGTCATCTAATCCAACCTCCCTGCAATGAGCAGGGACATCTTAAACTAGATCAGGTTCCTCAGAGCCCCATCCAACCTGACCTTGAATGCTTCCAGGGATGGCACAGCATGTAAAGTCTCCTGGTCTTATATACGGTGGGACTTGTGTGAGTGCAACCACAGCTTTGGAAAGCAACACTGAAAGTGTTTTCCAAGTTAAGAGGCAATGAGGAGGCCTTATCTGTGCAGTCAGTCTCCACATGGCAAGGCTACCATGGCTGCCGACCATCTGTCCATGCTGCACATCATCCTGGGTGGGATGCTGATTGAGGCTACACGCTACATAGGCCAGTACATAGGAGTGCAATTTATAATACAGTTACTAGATAATATCAGACTTCTGTAAGATGTTTCTGTTTTTCAGGACCTACGTGTACATAAGCTTTGTGTTTTGCACAGGTTGGGTGTAACAGAATTCTTATCTGGAAGATATGCTCAAGACCTCATTAACACCATTTGCACTGCAGTCAGCAGATTCATTATTGCAATATAGAGTGGTTTAATTGCTCCTATCTACATTCTCCACATGCTTCCCAAACAAATTCAGTGCCACTTTGTGCATGGCATCACTTCTGTAAAATGTTTCTGTTTTTCAGGACCTACGTGTACATAAGCTTTGTGTTTTGCACAGGTTGGGTGTAACAGAATCCTTATCTGGAAGATATGCTCAAGACCTCATTAACGCCATTTGCACTGCAGTCAGCAGATTCATTATTGCAATATAGAGTGGTTTAATTGCTCCTATCTACATTCTCCACATGCTTCCCAAACAAATTCAGTGCCACTTTGTGCATGGCATCTCTGTAGACTCTGGGGCAGGGAGCTGCAGAGGTTACTTCATGCGGGGTGGTCCTGGGCAGCCCTACATCCCCCAGACCCCTAAGCATGCTTCTACACCAGCCTGATTCCAGTAAATTCCAGCAGAAGAATCTTAAACCAGTATTAAGATCCAATTAATAAAAAAAGGACAGATTTCCTAATGAAATGTAAGAAAGGTAAAGAAGCCAGAATTTCTATCTTTTTTGTCCTTGCTCCATAACAAACTTTATTTGCACAGGTTATGTCAGATGTTTTAAATCAACAAAATCCACCTTTCAGTGGTGTTTCTAGTACAAATAGGTTTCGAGAACAAGCAAGACAGTTATACACACCATATATCAGTGGATTACTTAAATGACTATCTTGGCTTTTATCTTCTGTCAAACTCCTTGGAAATAACAATATATTTAAAGGATTATGAAAAACACTTTAAATATATGTCCTTTTCAAGGAACAGCAAAGTAGTAGTACTACAGGTTCATTTTCAGCTGTGATGAGCCACACTGTGACCTTTGTCATCCTTTAGAAAAGTAGAAGGCATTGGCCATGGGTGATATTACACGAGCACATACAGCAGCTTTTAACCATGCTCAGAATGCATTAGATAAGCAAATTCTTCATTTGAATATTTATGAAATTATAAGCAGTTTGAGTAATAAGTCAGAGTAACACATTATAACAGAACGGGGGGATGTCTGGTGGGGATTTTTTTGTTTGGTTTGTTTAGGTTTTGTTGTTGTTTTGTTTTTTTCTTTTTTTTAAAACAGGTCAAAAGATCCCAAAAATGGGATCTTTAACAGATCACACAATAAAACTCTTACGAAAAGCCATCTGCAGATCTGTTCTCTCTGAAAATTAAATATGGGACCTACCTTGAACTGTGAGTTCTGCTTGAGCCTCAATGGTCTCGTTCCCGTTCTCAGCTATGCAGGTGTATGTCCCCACGTCCTCCTCCGTCACGTCGCTGATCTCCAGGCTGCCCCCCGCAAGCAGAAGGAATCTGTCGTAGCTGTGCAAAACAGGACATACAGGTGACTTGATGGACAATTTGCCTTAAATAAAGCTACCAGAGAAGCAAACCCAAGCACTCTGCCTGAAATCTCTGCATAAACCAAAGAATATTCCTGGGTGCCATTTACAAGGAGTTACACTGGAGAGGCATTTTTAAGTTGATGGTCAAATTCCATACAAGAACTTCACCTTTAAGTTCAACTATATCAAGTTCACAAGAGTAGATCATCTTTGTGCACTTTCAGCTTCAGTTCTACTTAATTAAATGCAATCCAACGTATTTAGACAATAGGAACTAACACTTAAGAAACATGAAATAACACAACCACATAATTAAAAAAAACAAAACCATTTTGCAGATACAGCAGGAATGACTTATTTCTTGAAAAGTTAAGTGAACTACATGCCCGCACAACATAAGGAACAGCTTATGTTGCATAATATAGAATAATTGAATATTTTATAAAAGATAGCTATTTCAGTAAGATTTCAGAATAAGGTACAGGTTAAACAAAATTCAAAAGACAATTTCAACAAGTTGGGAAAGTTTCTGTTTAGTATTTTCTCCCTTTGCCTTGCAAAGGGTTGGGAGAGGGTTTATAATTCAGCTCTTGTAAACTATCTACTTTTTAGGCCAGATGTAGCAGCTAAATGTAGCACTTTCTGCTCCTTGCAGTACCCTCAACACTCTTCCCCCACTGCAACCAGCATTCCCTCTTATGTGATACAAATTTGTACAAGGGTCTTCCAAGATCCAACATCATTCCAAGCACCCACAATAAAAAGCCAGTAATGTTACCAAAAACCCCAAGCCGAGACAACAAATCACAACTGGATGCTGATCCAGAAATACTTGTATTTGCAGTTGAAAAAAAATAAAGTGAGGGTCTACCTGATGGCTTCCTTTCTGACACTATCGAGCAATGGTTTTGTGGGCAGGAATGGACCAAATTATTTCAAAAACTGAATAGCACATTATAGAGACAAAAAAGTTAATTGTAGAGTGGCCAACGTACAAAAAAAAAAAAAAAAAAAGAAAATCAACCTAATTGCTTTCTCCATTTGAAATTTTATTGGAATTATTTTACCAAAGCTCATACCTGCTTGGAAAGGAAAACTGTTAGGACACCAAGCCTTTTGATTCACCTAACTAATTAACACATTAATATCGATTTATGATAGCACTATACTTGTTAATCAAATTTCTGGTTCGATACATTTATAAAATGAATAAACAAAATCATTATTGGAATTAAGTGAAAGAAACCAGTCTTAAAAGGATCCAGGGAGACGTCATACCCAGGTACAGCATAAGGAAAGGGATACTGCTTCTATGACCTACTAACAGCTGGACTGCAACAGGTTTGTTTTGTAAGAAGTGTAGAAAATTTGAGTGAAGGTAGAAATAAGTTTGAAAAAGCATATAGAAGCTTTAAAAAAAAGGAATGGCTGAAGAAATACTAGTGAAGTACATGAACAGCATTGCAAACAGGTTCTAGCTAAGAGGAAAACAGCAAGAAGTCTGTCATTAAGCACTTTTTTTGAGCTGCTCAACAGTGATTCAAGGAGAGAATGTAAGGAGATAAGATATATATTGGATTATTTTGATAGTATTTTTTGTCACTGCAGCTAAAAAAATAAAGGCAGAAGCCTCCTATTGTGGATCAGATGAAAAATTAATCTCTAGGAAAAAAAGCAGGAGCTTTAGTGGTAATCAAAGACAGAGAAGGATGATCCATCTCATATCTCAAGCAAGAAATCTCTGTACAAAGGAGATGGGAACAGGAGCTGCCAAAACTGCATTGCCTTCCTCCCCGCCTCCCTTCTCCCACTTTCTTGTATTCTATTTACCTGTATTCTATCCAGGTAAATTCATTAGATTTAAATCACACAAGCTTGCTGAAGTTAGCCCAAAGAAACTGAACCTAACACACCACCTCCATGGCCAATCTGACCACCTAAGAAAGTTCTAAGCATCCAAAAACATGCAAGAAAACGATGCTTTTCATGATTCTTGAACCTCTTTATCTGCACCTGGGCATGGACAGTCCATGAACACAGAAGAGCTTTCCAAATGCTGTCAAGGTGAACAGAAACAATGTCACTGAAGGTTCTTTGTGAGAATGGTGCATTAGATGTTACAGCTGCACTAAAACCATGCCCAAAGAAAAATAGAATCATAGAATTGTCTGGGTTATGTTACAGCTGCACTAAAACCACACCTAAAGAAAAACAGAATCGTAGAATTGTCTGGGTTGGAAGGGACCTTTAAGGTAGAGTCCAACCATCAACCTAACTCTGATAAAACCCATCCCTAACCCATGTCTCTAAGCACTATGTCAACCCGGCTTTTAAATATCTCCAGGCATGGTACCTCAACCCTTTCCCTGGACAGCCCATTCCAAGGCTTAAGAACCCTTTCTGTGTAAAAATTTTTCCTAATATCCAATCTGAACCTCCCCTGGCACAAGACTTGAGGCCGTTTCCTTTTGTCCTAAATAAATAAGACAAGTCTGGACCTTGACACATCCACATATGAAGTTTTGTATCTCCTTTCACTATGTAAAATAGCATCAACTTGAGGCTGTTTCCTTTTGTCCTAAATAACTAAGACAAGTCTGGACCTCGACACATCCACATATGCAGTGCTGTATCTCCTTTCACTATGTAAAATAGCATCTTTGATTATTTGTTCTGGCATTCTTGGTGAATTCAATTCATCTGAGTAGCATATCATCTGCTGAAGGCCAAGAGGAACGCAGGGAGCAACCAAGCCAAGGGGTCAACATGCCAGGTCTATGGGTGGTGGTCAGGAGAGAAGGCAGGAAGGAAGGTTGAGAGAAGAGAACTACCACAACTGCAAAGGAATGAGAAAAGGCTACACAGACTGTTAGTGTAATTTTTATGACATGCAGTGCTTTTTTCTGACTATCTACCAGTTTCCATGGTTATCCATCTAAAAGGAACACCTGCCTTATGATGCTCATTTTCCCACCAGGCTCTGGAAAAGGGAAGTAACACCAGTGGCAAGGCAGGAGACACATGGTTAATAACCAGCAATCAAGATGTTACTAAAACTATAAAAAAGTACTAGATGTTGTCACATTAGGCAACAAAAGTTTGTGGATAGGATCTCTCAGGCTACTGGTAACATAGTAGCATCTACATGAACTCTCCTTTTAGTCAACAAAGAAGGTTATAGAGTTTTCAGCCCTCTGAAGTGTGTGCTATGCTTTTTATTCTCTTTGATTATTTTCCTCAGGAAAACCTAGAGTCGAGTTCAGAGTTTACCAACGTGTGACCCAATACAAGTTCACCATTGTTGAAAAAACGGAAGAAAACAATCTGTCAGATCCCTTGGTGATTCCCTCTGTACACAGGAGCTGCGGAAGAATTCCAGGCTTAAAACAAACCCACTTTTGTAATAAAGTAAAACATCTTAATTTTGTAAGGACACTGAAGGATTTCCACAAAAGAGTGAAGCAATCAGATTTCAGACACTGGAGACAAAGAATCAGCTTATTATAAAAGTGATAACATAATTTAAAGTGTCATTAAAACCAGCAAAGATTGATCATTCAAATGTCAGGGAACAGCAAAATCCAATTCAAGCTTTTTATCTGTATTCGATACAGCCCTCAGTTACACGCTCATAATGTACCATTACTTGAGCTGTTTTGGATACCTAACTCACACGTTTTTTTAATGTTCATTATCAAAAAATATAGTGAGCCTTTATTAATTTACTGCATTCAAACAGCGAGTTATACCCTGAGGTTTCAGTGCTCTTTTTTCCCCTCTTCTACATTACTATTCCCAAAACATCTTATAATCTATTTGCAGTCTTGGTAAAGTACAGGAGATAAAATTAGACAGTAAATTAGATTATTTTGTGGAATCTACTACCAGAAAAATGTCTGTAATTACTCTGCTACATTTAACCTTTACTGAGTTGGGCAAGTATAATTCAGTTAATACAAATCACTGAGTGCCTGGCAAACAATGACATGTAATAATTAAAAATATCACACAGTCATGTGAAGGATGAAGGAAAAAAGCCTGCATTAAGAATATGTATGTGATCATATAATTAAAGGCTTTATCTGAATGCACACAGCAACAGCATAAAATTAATGCCACAGATGCAACCTCAGCTTTGTGATCTCCCCACTTTAGGAAAAGATTAGCCATGTTACAGTTTTCTGTAGGAATTTTTCAACTACATGAGATTTTGCAAATTTGGAACAGCCCAACACCACCGAGGAGTTAGCTGTTCTTCAACAGCCTTATTAAAATATTACGTTATCGTTCAGGGTTCTTTCAATTGTTTATTTTCAGATTAACCGACATGAGATTTTGCTAAATGGAACAGCCCAACACCACTGAGGAGTTAGCCGTACTTCAACAGCCTTATTAAAATATAACGTTATCGTTCAGAGTTCTTTCAATTGTTTATTTTCAGATTAACCATCTCATTTATTGTAGTTTTTTTAAGAATTTGTGGTACATGCATTTGTAATTTGTTCCACAAAAGCATCCAAATACAAATCAAGATACACAACACGTACTGCCTGAGCACGTGCCGATCCACACACTGGGAAGGTTTCAAAGCAGAACAGCATCTTCCAAACGTTTGAAACTCTCTGCCCAATTCCCAAGCTCTGAAAATCCATCTTGGCAGCCACCTCGCCTGAAACTTCACTTTTCAACTTCAAAAATCACCAAAAGCACAAAATTACTCCCACATTTGCTAACGAACAGACTCCCACACAGTGGGATCCTTAGCCAGACATTAAAAAAAAAGTGTGAAAGGCTCAAAATTCACAAAATCTGAATAAAACTATCCACGCTGCGTATGACATTTCCATTGTAGCCTTTTATACCAGGTGACACTGACAATATGGTAGATTTTACTTCGGAATTTTTCTGTAAAGGACATAAGATTTGTTCAAACAGCTTTATAGTTCAGAGGCTTCCCCCACTTCCTTCTGTTTCTCT